TAATGCGTGCATTTCGTGGCAGCAGTCGCAGCACACTGATTTTGTCTTGCCTTATTTTCACTGCCTGAGCCTCAGAAGACCGAGCCGACCAAATACGAAGTTGTCCGGTCTGTTCAGCGCATTTTTTCGGTGTTGAAAAAGTTTGTTCTACATGTCTAGTCTATGTGTTCTCTGGTCAGTGGTTAAATGCTACAATTTGAATCTTTAACTAACAAAATCAAATCTAATAACTAGCGTAATTACAGTATTTTAAGGAAGTATTTTTCATATAAGGCTCAGCCACACTTTGGATAGAGATTGGCGCTCGTGTGATTTTTGCCATTCTTATTCAGCGAGTCGTATCTGTGAGATGCGTGACATTCGAAGTTCGAACATTGCGGCTGCCAGACCGCGCGAGTCACTGTTAAGTACTAATTGCAGCGGTCACATTTACAGAGATTCGTGATGAGTTAGCATTGTAATCGATGTTAGTTGCTCAGCTCTCAGAGTTAAATGCTGCATCTCTAATAAAAGCATTAACAATTTTCAATGTCGCTCGCTTATTTACGAAATTGGCAAACAGCCAGAAAAATAGATAAATTATTAGTTGGATGTTGGTATATAAGGCAATCAGATGTACACGGTCAAGTCGGAAATCTACAGCGAGACAAACTACCAGCCAGTGCACGATGCTGAAGGCAACATTGTATCAAAATTTCGTTTTCGCTATCCTGACGAGCAGCTACCTAACGGTAAAGCTAAAGTAGATAATGATGGTGATCTGGAGGTGCAGCGTCCAAAGCGCGGCATCATAGAAATCGAACATTCCGATGCAACGGAACTTAAGCTAGTTGGTCTCCAAGTTTGGCGTGGAGCGTTGCTCCTGGCAGATTTTGCCTTTCATCAAAGGGAAGCATGGAGCTCCAAGACAATCCTGGAGCTGGGCGCTGGAGTTGGTTTGACCAGCATTACAGCAGCTATGATGAACAAAGGTCAAGTCTATTGTACCGACGTGAATCTCGGCTGCATTCTCGAGCTGATGCGCAAGAATGTCCAACGAAATAGGCAGCTGCTGCAAGGCCACATCTCTGTGCTGGAATATGACTTCCTTGCTCCAAGATCTCAGCTCAGCAAAGAACTGATTGCCGCCATCGATGATAGTGATATAATCTTGGCAGCGGATGTCGTCTATGATGATACGCTCACCGACGCCTTCGTCGCAGTCATGGAGCACATACTGGAGCGTGGAGAGAAGACTGGCAGAGCTAAGTGCATCTACATGGCCATGGAGAAGCGTTATGTGTTCACCCTGGAGGATTGTGATTCTGTGGCGCCCATGTATGAGCATTTCCTAAGGCAAATACTGAAGAAGCCTTGGCGCATGGAGGAGTTGCCTTTGGATTTTCCACAATATTTTGAATATGAGCGATGCCCGCAGCTGGTGCTGATGCGCATTAGCAGACGTTGACGCCTCTACTGTACAGTAATCTACCTAAATGTGAACACACTTGTGTTTATAAATAAAACAGTTTGTTAGATTTTATTTTAGTTTCGCATAGAGGATTGCAACAAATAGAAATATTTTTGTACAATATTTAACAATTTGCATCGTATGCAAGACCATAAATTCCCACAGCTATAAAAACTTTGTCTTTTGCCTTAAGATTAAAGATTCACTTTAAGTTTAATGTCATTATGCTATAACCCTGAACCCGTTTCTATGCATCCATTTTCCTGTCGCCGCTTTTAGTTGATCACAAGTCCTGCATGGCCAGGATAATGTTCTCTAGAGCCTGGCGCGCATCAGTAGCTGGAAAATGTTGCAGGACACCTAGGGCAGCTTCCGTGTGCTTTCGCTGCAGCTCCTTTGTCTTGGCCAGCGCTGGACCCGCAAGGATTTCCTTGTGTATTTGATTGTAGTCGACGAGGTCCACGGACTTTTTGCCCGGCTCGATTAGCTTATAAAGACTGGGATCGTGCTCCAAATGGAAGAGGACAGGCGCACTAACCAGACTGAAGGTTGCATCCGGTGGCAGCGTTGGGCTCTGAAAACTCTCGGCATCGAGGCAAGCCTGCCAGGCCAGCGCCAGATGCTTGCCAAAGCGGTAGGCGTGCCGCTGCATCTGTTCGCTCTGGCCGGCCAGTTTGAGGGACGCCTGACAGGATTTGCCGAGCAGGCTACCCGCATTCAAGATATTCCGACATTCCCACTCCTGCTCCGGATTACCCATCACCTGGCCAATCGGCATGGGCGTCATCACATCGTGCTCGTTGAAGTCGACGCCCACGGTGAGTGAGGGACGTTGGAATGTGCCCGGCTTGAAGGGCAGCGGGTTGTTCTGCTCATCGCGCTCCCCTATAAACTCCGATTCGGAAAAATCTCGCACAGCTGACGAGATGAGCTCGGACACTTCCTGATTGCGCAGATTCGCAAGCTCCGCACTGGAATGGCCAAGCAAATAGTCGCCGGTGAGCAAGCCAATCTTGTTGCCAAATGACATGTCATCGTAGGTGGTTGTATCCTGGCCTGCCTCAGTGCCACTTTGCAAGTTGACAACGCTCTAAAGAGAATCGAGTGGAAAACTGTTTAGGCTAAATTTTTCGCATTTAAAGGATTCCCTTACATTGTGCACCAAATGGGAGATTCGTATCATCTCGGTGACCTCGGCTAGCGCGCGCTGTGAGTGGAGCACCCCGGCGCTCTTGTCCTGCTCCACATCGGGTATGCTAGGAGCATGTCCAGCGGCCTTGGATACAAGCAAGACAATGAGACCCCACGCTTGCATGGTATTCTTGCCGTTGTAGAGGAGGTGCCTATAGGAGTAGGAATTTTCTAATCTGAATCTGCACATGATTTGTAGTCCACTTACTTGGCTGTCTTCATTAGCGGATGCGCACTGCCCACCAGTTTGCGCAGATGTAGCGCTACATTTGCGATTTCGTCGCTCAGGAGCCAGCGCAGGCTTAGAAAGGACGTGGGATACCCGACGATCCTTTCCGCCTCGCTAACGGCGCGATTCCAATCGTGGCGCGGTGGAGTCACCTGTTTGTTGTTCGCCGCTGACGCAGACGTGCATCGTAATTGAGTGAAAGTTGACAGGTGTGGCTGCTCAACAGGTGAGACTTGTTCGAGGCATCGTTGCAGCTGCCGCGGCTGCATCCTTTGTCGCAGCATTTGTTGCATAATCACTGCACCCACTCGATTCATCTTTGTAACGGTAGTTTCTAAATCCAATGTATTGCACAATTCAACTATTAACTGCTGATTTATGCTGATCCGTGCACTCGTTTGCTGCTCTCTGTTGGCAACTGTTGAAAAGTGAAATCACAGTGGCTGCTCGAGCTTGACGTTGGCTGCGCTGCTTCTGTTGCTGTTGTTGGTGCTGCTTCTTCGTTGGCGGCACACTTTTACACTTTTGCGACGCGGTATGCCGTTTTGTTTGTTTGCTCTTGACTCGAAAACAGGTTTTCGATGGCCCGAACACACCTGCTGCCACCGCCGCCCCTTGCAGCATTTATTTGTTTCTTTCATTTTTTTTGCGTTTTATTGCATTCCAGCAGTTAAACAGCTGTTCACCATTCTATCGATATATCGATATGAGCCCCATGTGTTTTGTCTGCTCTACTGTCGGGTATAATGAACTACAAGATTATATATCTTAAATGATAATATTATCGATTTCTTAATTTATAACTGGATTTGCAAACCTGATTTTTTAATTAGTCACTCATTTATATACGTTTTACGACAGCCGTTACAGCTTTATTTACATCGTATTTATATATCGAATTGGCGATAGTTTCTATGTTATGCAGTTACATTGCTATTTCGAAATTGTATATCGTACACTCACACACACTTATGCATACAGCTGCGCACACACCGTATCAGCCTTACAAAATTGTTATACTCAACGCCTAGTCGATTTGAAAGCACTGCATACTTTTAACCGTTGACCTTATCAATTTTCGAACACCAAAAATTGTTTATCAATGTAGTGCTTATTGATAATGGAGCATACTCTTGGTTTTTATCAGTATGCAAAAGTCATGGCAATTGTCGAATATAATTCAGTATTCTTGTGAATCGCTATGGAAAGAGTCGGAATTGAGCTTTAAATAATGATAGAGTGGCTAAGAAAGTGCGTGGGTGTGTTGAGATTGGTTGGATGCATTTTACGTGTTAGGCTTTGGCTTGGCTAAGCGCATGAGCGGAGTATTTTTAAAAGGCCATGAATGAAACTTTAAGCACCCACCCCTGTTTTGTGACAAGCACCAAAAACAGAGAATGTACTGCAAAGTGTGCGAGAGAGAGAGGAAGACAGAGTGGGCGCCTTGTTTCTGCAAGTGGAATATTGCGTGCACTCTCCCGCTCTTCTGTTCTCTCCCATTCATGCTAGCTCTCACGCAGCCAGCTAACGGTGTCTGCTTGGAAAACTGTTAAAACGGCGTTAAAATCGAAATCGATAAGTACGCAAGGGCAGGAGCAAAAGCAAAACTGTGCGAAAGCTAGAGAAAAGAAAAAGTTTACTACACAATTGGCTAAGAAATTAGTTAAAAAAACTCCGAATTTTTATGGTAGCCTAGTGACTAGAGCATGTCGAAGAAAAGTGTTAGAGCAATAGAATTACTTTTGACAACGTAAAGCTACGCGAGAAACAAACTCAAGAAAATCCGCTGCTGCAGCATAAATCGATATCAGCAGGGGAAATGCTGTGAAAATTTTCACACAACATTTTCTCAATCATTTTCCGCGATTATGTAAAAGTGCTTAAGAAAGCTAATTTAGATGCACGCTTCACATTCCAATTCTATAAGCTATACAATTCGAACCAAATATTAACTCAAGCCATTAACAACTCCCCCATTACCCCCTACTCCATTTGCAGCTACTAAAGGTAATGTAACGGCATTTGATTGAAGCGCGACAAGAAACCATAAACAAAAACCCAAAAAAAAAAAAAGAAAAAGAAATCGCTTCTGCTTGAAAAAAAAAAATCAAGCGCTAGTAGCCAAGCTAGAACAGAATGCAGCCGCCGCCGCGCAAGGTAAACCAGCTAAAGCATATATTAAAAAAATTAATCAGATCTAATTTATGTTTATATTTAATTTAATATATGACATTTCTTTGCTTCAACAGGGAAACTATGTGAAATTCCTAAAGAATTTGCACACGGAACAGGTAGCCAAGTTGCAGCTAAAGAATCAACATGAGTGCGATCTACTGGAGGATATACGGCAATTCACAATCAAGCGCTCCGCTATTGAGAAATCATATAGCGAGGGTCTGCTCAAGATCTCATCGCAGTATCTCAATAAGAAAATACCAAATATACCCGATATTAAAATGGATGGCATGGAGGAGAGATGGTAAGTGATAAAAAATGAATTATTTCCTAAAAGTCTACGACCACTCTTCTCTCTCTCTCTCTCTCTCTTTTTTTTCACTTCCGCATCAGGAATATGTGGAGCGTTTGGCGCACTGTGCTTGAGGAGAACGAGAAGCTGGCACGCGCTCGGCTCGCTGCCATCGAGGTGTTCCAGCAACAAATAGCGGATGAGGCCAAAGTTCTCCGAGACTATAAGCTGGCCATAGCCAAACGCGCGCTCGCCGGCATAGTCAATGTGCAAAAGGAGCTGCACTTGAGCGTCGGCGACGTGGACAAGACTAAGAAATCCTATTTCGACGAGGAGCACTGTGCACACGATGTCCGCGACAAGGCCAAAGACATTGAGGAGAAGCTGAAGAAAAAGAAGGGCTCGTTCTTTCAGTCAATTACATCGCTGCAGAAGAACAGCGCCCGGGTCACGTCGCGCAAGGAGCTACTCGAGGAGAAGTCGTCGGGCGCTCGCAACGATTACATCTTGAGTCTGGCCGCAGCGAACGCGCATCAGAATCGCTACTTCACTGTGGACCTGCAGACGACAATGACCACCATGGAGAACTATGTGTTCGAACGAGTTGCCGAGTATCTGATGCTAATGGGGTAAGGATCGGGAGAGACAGATTCTTTCGGAGGGTAATTTAGTTGGGGAAATTGACTTTTCAGATATGGGGGTAAAGCCTTAAGCCTTGAGGTTGCTTAGATCGGTAGTGTCTTAGACTAGATTCTCTGCCTGTTGCATGTTTTTCTCGTTTAACCAACCTGTCATTTATCATCCTCAACAGACGCACTGAGCTGCTTACCTGCTCGGCCATGCAGAACAGCTTTGGCAAGATCCGTGACCAGGCCCAACAGCTGACGCGGGAGTACAATCTGCAGTGCTGCTATCTATTCTATCCGGTGCTGAAGCAGCACATTCAGTACGACTTTGAGGCATGTGACAATGATCCGGTGCGTAAGGTCACCACCGAGCACGAGTCAGCAGCGGAGACGCTGACCAAGGAGGCGAAGAATTTGGCCGGTCGTGTGGTCAAGGAGAATGCCTCAATACGGGAGTATGCCAAGAAGTTGGCACTGTGCCAGTCGCTGCGAGATGCTGGCCAGCGTACAGATCCCAATGATCCAAATGGCCCCGACTTGGATACGAAGATCGATGAGTTCCGCGATCAGATACGTCGCTCGGAGACAGAGAAGGCCAAGGCAGAGGCGTGTTTGCAGTGTCTACGCGACGGCGGCATCAATGTGGACGAATGGGTACAGGAGGCGGAGATTATGGGCGTACAGGAGCTAACACGATCCGCCAGCTCCATATCGATGCGCACCGATGCCTCCGGCCAGGGCGAAAATCCCAGCTCTGATTCCTTCTACGACAGCGACAAGGAGGACGGTGCCACAGCTGTGGCGGCCACGAAGCCTAAGCAGGACCAGCAGCTCTCGCGGGATCGCACCTTCAGCGACAGCGAAGATGATGCCGAGGAGCGCGAACGAGCACAGCCAACAGCTGCGGCTCCAGTGCAAATGTCCAGCGGATGGGATGATCCGACCGAGGTTAATTGGGACGAGGCAGAGGATGACAAGGATGAGCCGATTGTACCGGAGCCCAAGGAGGCGATCTTCAAGTGCACAGCGCTCTATAGTTATACGGTGAGTGGGAGAAGATTTAAGAGAAATAGAAGAGAATTTAATCTACTGCTTGCATTCTTTGGTTAGGCTCAAAATCCGGATGAGTTGACCATTGTGGAGAACGAACAGCTGGAAGTGGTTGGCGAAGGCGATGGCGATGGCTGGCTGCGCGCACGCAATTATCGCGGCGAGGAGGGCTACGTGCCGCACAATTATCTGGACATCGAGCAGGATGCGGCTGCCGACGGGGCTTTCAATGGTAGTTCTGCCAATCAATTGCGCACACAAATTTCATTCTCATCTGTCGATTATACTGTTGACAACGAAGATCAAACGGTGGACTCGATGCAATCGCCCGATCAGGTGTCAGTCATAATGGCGCCCCAGAAGCGTGTCAAGTCCGACACCGAATGGTGTATTGCGCTCTACGACTACGATGCCACCGCCGAGGATGAGCTAACCTTCGAGGAGGGCGACAAGATCAAGATCATAACAAAGACGGCGCACGGCGTCGACGATGGCTGGTGGGAGGGCGAACTGGATGGCAAATTTGGCAATTTCCCATCGCTGGTCGTGGAGGAATGCGATGAGATGGGTGAGCCACTCAGTGATGGCGATGGCGACGAGTCACCAACACCCACAGCTGCGCCCAGCTTTGCGTTGCCCCCAGCGCCCGCATTGCCGCCAGAGTACGCCCACGAGCTAACAGACATAACGGAGGATATGTTTGCCTCACAGGATACAGCAGGTGGGTGAGATTGCCAAAGAGCGTTTACATGGTGTATACAATACGTCTCTCTCCCTCTCGTCGTTCCTTCCGCCCGCACTCCAGATGAGGATCGGGATAGTGGCTATATACCTAATGGCGCCGGCGTACCCAGCATGCCTCCGCCAGGTAATTCATTCTATATGAACAAAAATTATCTACGCTCTACTTCACTCTCTCTCTTTCTCTTATCAAAGACTTTCTCTTTATACAACACATCCATATCCGATTTACGCTCTCTCTCTTTAAATATATATATTTTTTTTATGTTTCACCTAAAACAAAATAAAACAAAAATACTCGAAGTACTTTTGATACCTGCTTCTATATTCTCTAGAGGTAGCCAAAACTTAATCTTCAACTGCAGCTCGTCCAACTACTAACCAACCAACCACTAACTACCAATTACTACCAAAAACCACCATCACAACCACCTTAACTACCTCAACCACCACCACCTTCACTCACTGTAACTATTCTTCGTAACACTCTCCGTTTATTGTGCTATCGAAACAGCAATCTCGAATTATGTGTCCTTTGCAAGCCAATGAATAAGCTAAACAAAAACTAAGAACTAAAAATCAATTTTTTACAGTGTACTTTAGGCTGCTTAACAACGTGTCTCCTCCTCTTCGTGTGTGTTGGTGTTTCCTGCTATGCTACTAATTACGATCTCGATATATTACGATTACGATCTTTCAATATTTCGACTATTCTTAACCAGATGTTCAATAATTTTTTATTTTTCTCTAATTTGTAGTATCATTTTTTGTTTGGCACCAATTTTTTACTTTATATTGGTATTATTCACAATTTGTATTTACTTTTCGCTCAGTGTAAGAAGCTGCAATTCGTGTTTAAATGGTTTTATCTTTACTCAAAAATATGATATTTATATATGTGTTATATATGATATCTTCCCTATCTCTGATCTTCAAGCTTTCTCGATTAATCTTTGATAATGTTGTACATAAAATTGGAATTCTTTCTGTATTAATAGTTTGTAGTTTATGTTTATTAAAGACTTTTTTTTTTGCTAGTTTTGTTGACTTTTCCCAAGTTGAGAAGTAAGCAGCGGAGGCATTTTAAGATGAAAGATATCTTGAAACCCCTTACAAACCAAACTTAGATTAAATTCTTTTGATTAAAACAAGTCCGAAATACCTTGTAGTTTGAAAATAAAAAAAGAATCCGTTTTTAATGTCAACTTTTTTGATACTATCCTCCCTTTACACCTTGATTTTTTCTCAAAACAACAATGACTTTATTTAAGTCAAATATTTTTAATTCTTCTTAATGCGTCATATTAATATATAAACGTCATAAATAACTTGGAAACCAATATATTGCTTGAATCTGTCCGAAACACCCTGTTATTTATAAACTAGAATTCGTTTGAATGTTCAATTATATTCCATTATACATATATTCAAGTTTATATCGTAAGATCGTATAACTTATTCTGACTTTAAGATAATAATTATTAACCTGGTAGATTCCTTGTAATTTACACGTATCTTCAATATATTCAATCAATTCGATTGACGTCTTTGATTTTTTTATCACTCGTAAGCTTCTTCAGCTCTATGAGCTATCGACTTTAAATATTTGCTATAATATTTGAAAGTATTTGCTTTAAAATTTATCGAAACTATTGTCTACTATATGTAGCATGTGCATGGACCTCCCCCTCAAACGCAATTCCCTATCCGTTACCCTCTTTTCGTATTTGTGTTATAATCCCTTTAGTTCAAATCCGTTTCCTTGTATATATATTTATATGTATCTGAATATCTTGATTCTTGTACCCTTTGAATTGAGCCCTGCAATATTCAATTGTATTCTCATCGCTCTACTCACTCGATAAAGGGTTATAAAAATACTATGTGAATTTAATAAAAAAAAAAAAAAATATTAAAATCGTATTACGATCAAATTGATTAAAGAAACTCTCTTCTCTCATTTATATTTAATGCTAACTCAGTGCTTATACAAGAGCCTGGCATGGAGGTAACTAGACAAAGAACCTTTCCCATCTATTTAAATTAATCATTTGTTTTAAAAATTGGATTAACTCTATATATTTTCTATTGCAGGACGATTTCAGCGACGATGAGAAGCCGCCGCCGTCTTTGCCGCCACCGCAGTTGGTCAAGCCTGGGGGCGTGGCCGCTGGTGGAAATGTGGGGGGCGTTGCGAATACTTTGAACTTAGGTATGGCACAAATAATTGTTACCGCTGCAACCCCAATGGTTGAAGACGGTGCCGATAAATCTTTCCCACCAGTAGGAGAGAGCGACAATACAGAATCGCAGCAAACGAAGGAGCCGCAACCGGATGTGGAGAAAAAGGCCAAGCCAAAGCCAGACATTGTGCCCAAGCCATCGGCAGCGAAAATCGCGGCCCACAAACAGCCGCCAAAAGAAGGTAATGTTGGTAAAAGTGACGCAGTGGAGGATCAAGTGGCTCCTGCTGTAACCATAACACTGACCGAGTATCATGTATCAGCAGAGGATGAACATCAATCTTTCGATTCGGCTGATGGGACGGTAGCCGTAGTGCAGCAGCCTGAGGATCCGTTTGTTGAGAAACCTGCGGCAGGTGCGGCTCCAGCTGTGGCTGCTGCTGTTGCTGCTACTGACGGTGCCAGTGCGGGATTTGAGGCGGACTTTGAGGCAAATTTCGATGCTAATTTCGATGATGCGTTTGCTGGCAGTGGAGCAGGAGCAGCAAGCGGAGGGGGAGGAGGTGGCGGTGGTCAGTCGACCGGCTTGGATATGAACCCCGAGGCACAAGCAGAGGATGTTATTGAAGCACCCAAACAGGTGGTTGGCGGTCGAGCCAGCATACCCGAAGAATTAGACTCGAATCAATTGGCACGCCTAGAGAATCTAAAGGAATCGAATGCCTAAGCGCCGCAGGCCCATTCAAACTTCCTGGCTAATTAAATGTTGTTCGTTATAAACTAGGGCACATACCATTGAGCACGATCTATATATATATATGTTATATATGGAGACTATAGCCGAAGCGCTCACAGCTGAGAATCACACTGTATTGAAATCCTCACAGCACCAGACACCAAACACTCAAAACAATAAACAATATACGATATATCTAATACAAAGAATAATCTAATACAACGATGCCATAGTGTAAACAGCTCAATAGAACAGACCCATATATATGCATACTAACTGAATAATATACATATATGAATGTATATTGTTATGCTGGTGTTGTAGTTCTCTCAGTCTCTGAATTGGATATTCGAATATCAGCTTATTATCGAGCAATATATATATATATATAAATGTATGTATATATCTAAGTCAACATAAACTAGTTAAAAGAGAAAATTTAATATATATACTTTAATTACGCTTTATTAACAGTACGAATACCAGCCAAAAGCAATTTCTACTCATAGTTCAAGTTCTGTTGCGAATGGAAAAGACAAGAAAAGTAAACAAAAATATACTCATTGTTAGCACTAGGAATTGTTGCATAGACAAATTCCTCATCATCTAGTTTGCTTCAAATACACATATACATATATATATATATATATATATGTTTTCTGATTTCTTTAACTATATATTGTTGTACACTGTTATTAAAAAGAAAAAAAGAAGAAGAAGAATTCTTCATCAATTAGTTCAATGTGTTAGCAATTTAGTTCAAATATATTTGATTGGTTTTTACTATACCTGAAATGCCTATTCAAATTTCGCGAATCATCTAGTTAAAATACTCAAATATGAGCAACTCTCTTAGTGTTCATATAAATAATTATATAT